GATTATTTAATAAAATAATAAATAAAGAGATTGTATCTGTATTAGAACTCTCTGAGAAACTAATATAAACTATTTAACATCATACTGGTGTCATAAGTGCAAGTTTGCTCTTCTAAACTTAAAATTTGCCCCTGATAGATTATCCAAAGTAGATGTTAGACACTTTCAGACTATCCAGCCACACTGTTGCTTTTGGAAAGTTTTAAATGCCCTTTACCCATGATAAAATCACTGTAAAGCATGGTGTCTTATGGTCTTAGCAAAGTAATTCAAACGTTTAGGACAAAAATTGTGTGAACTTCATCAAAGCCTAGCTTTACCTTCGAAAGCCAGTTAGTTCACAGGCAAGTGAATAGTCAAAAAGGTAATGCAAAAGGTGAGAACTTGAAAAAAAATGATGGAGAAAATATCTAATATTATACAAGTCCGGAGTGTGAATATCTAGGGTGTTATTATTTTCTTCATTCTCCCTCTCTCCCTTCTAATTCCATACGAGAAGGGACCTTTGCAACAAAAGAAAAAGTGTTACCTGGCTGCTAAGGTATGTTAGTAATTACAGTGGCATTACACCCCGCACAATGTCCCTGCAAAGTCTAGTATTGTAATTTCTTTCCCTCAGGGTTTCCTTTATCACATCTCTTAACTCTGATACAGCTCGCCCCACTGCTGACCCCTGTAGCCATGATTAAGAACATTTGCTTTTACACTAGTGCTTATATAGAAAAGCAAATCCTTTTATGATGCCATCTTGCACATAGAAAAAGAACATTATGTTTTAGAATAATGCTTCCCATAATGACTTTAATCTGGGTCAGGTATTTATCATCCAGGTCAGTTCTGATTCACTCAAACATACACAATATTTCCCGTATGGTGGCTTTATCGTGAAAGCAGTTCTTGTCCTTTTCACCAGTAGCACTAGTTTTTTTGGACACAGAGCTTTTGCACACAAGGTTTAAAATTAACTTTGTGTGAAATAAAAAATTTACCGGCCACATTTTTAGCATTACGTAAAAAAAATGGATATAGTATAGGTGAAATAGAACAAGGAATACTCTCAAATAGGCATTGTTTGAGAATAAAATCCTGAAGTTTCCAGCCAAACACAATTGGAGTTATATTAAAAAATATCTTCCTCTTCCAAGCTTTATAATGGGAGTGAATGGTACCTTAGATTTTGAAGCCCCAAAAAAAAGCCCAAAAATGTTTTCTTTTTTGGGGTGAACTAACCCTTTAACATTAAATGGTATGGCATCTTACGCACAGAAGCAATTGGCACATACTGCTATGCTTAGTGGCACATATAGTGGCACATCCAGTTTTCATAGGCATTTCATAAAACCTGTGAAATGTGCCGATGGATTGCTTCATGTGCAACTGACAACATGTCGTCAAATGTTGTGGCACCTGCAGTTGTGACTGATTGCTGAAGCTGTAATATTTTGTCAAAATTATGAAAATAAAGAATTTGGCATTATGAAACTAACATTTGCAGTTTTTGGATAACAATTATAACTCTATAAATAATAAAAAAATATTGTACAATATGATGCCACTTCAGTGATATGTTAGAATAAATAACAAATCTAAAAAAATGTGTTTGTATGTATTTGTATAGTGAAAAATACTACAGGTAACCTGACAATGCTGTGTGAACTGAGAACAGTCATACAAATTTCTTATTGGCCAAAATTATTATTAATGAAAAATAAAATGAAAAAAATTCTTTGCAATATTGATCATTATTTTGCACATTTGATGTAAAAAAAATAATAATAATTTAACTAGTAGTAGACGGTTTAATTTGATTGACTGAATAGTTCACATTGCTTACAACAGCGGGTAGTTCCTAATAAAGTTTCCAGCCAACTGGCGAGAAACTGTTCTATTTATTCGCCAAGGACAATTCTGGCTGGCATTTGGTGCTTGGCGAGTGTTCATTTTTGGACCCTGTCTGCACACGTTCAACAGGCCGTTCTGCAGTAATGAGGGCTTGAGTCTGGTCAGCGAGCCGTCCTGTAAACAGTCTGAGAGCAGCGTTAATTAACTCTCACCAACACAGGAGAGCAGAATAAGGCAGAGATGGAGAGCCAGACCTCTGACCTCTGCAGGTCTAACCAGGCCTGATTGGACAGCCTCAATCTGAGCAATTAGTACACCGGGTCCCCCAATCTACATAATTGCCCAAGCAGGGGGTAGGACAGACGGGCATATGAGTGGAGACCATTGGATGCACACAAACAAACACATGATTCACATAAAAAGAAAGACACACACACACACACACACACACACACTAATAACACTTATTTAACTATGAAAAGGCTCTAAAAGTCACCATCACACATGGATTTGTGATAACTGCACTGGTGGGGTGTTCAACAGAAACCCTGCTGAGACTGAGCACTGCCCAGAGTAAGCTTGAAAGTCGTGATTTAAGAGAGGATCAGTTCCTCCACCTCATCATGTGACCTCTCTAAAGAATGTTTTAACTCAGGATAAAGAACCTGGCTGGACTGGCTTTGAGTATCCTGCAAATACCCAATGACGTCTGGTCTGTTAACGGTTCTCTCACATGCATTCTTCATCCAATGCGGACAGAACAGTGTCCTAAAATACTAGTATCTCGCTACTGAATCTAAAGCATAATCTCGCACTGATCTTTGCAATTCGATTACTGAATGACACTTTTAAGTGAATCCCACACTTACAGCTCAAGTTATTTCATAGGTGTTCATAATACAGTGTATGATGTGTAGTTAAAGATACACATGAGTTTTACACATACACATGTCCTTAAATCATGTTTCAAAGCACATAACATTACAATAATAATGATGAACGTAAACAAAGAGCTCTGACTTGTACCACCTGACTGCTGCAGATTCATTTCACCATTGATAATGTTGGGGATGGAAAGGCGTAGCGCCAAACATTAGTCCCAAACTGATGAGTAATATCTTCTTGCGGTGCGTAGATCCAAAAGGAACTAAAAAATCAGAAAAAAGATCCGCATACGAATATAGGCCAAAAAGCTCACAGGATTTTATTGTCCAGAGGCCAATAAAGTGCAAAAGTCCAAGTGCAACATGTTTTCGGGTTCAACCCTTCATCAGTGCCATGTATGCTGATAATGTTGCCATAGAGACAGATAATTACCAGTCCAAGGACGTAAACATCAGATATGTATATGAAGATGCCACATTCAACCGTTCCGAACACGCCATCTTAGAACAGTCAGCATGCCGTCACTCACAGTAAGAATCAATGATGCCACAACATTGCGCAGCTTCTGGTTGTTAAACTGTCAAGATTTCAACTCCAGAAGGAATGGGATAACCTTTCACAGGAATGTGTTGGTTTATGTTTTCATATATTAACTCAATGTCAATATTACAGGTTTTTGCTATATGGTACTTTTATGCTAGGGTTTTTACTTTTCCTATGGTAACTTTTTAATGTCATGTTAGCTGACGCCTTCCTTTGTCTTGCTGTAATGTGTCTAAGTCTATTACGGAGATGCGAAGATAATAATACATGCGTCAAACTACGGTTGCAGATGCTCAGTCAACTTGCTTTGAAGTAAAGACTGAAATGGAATTTTCTTGCAAAACTTATTCCAATAATCTCCGTCTTAGTTACGTCAGAACATCCTGATTGGTCCAAAGCAGACTTCTTTCGTCAACTACATCACCTGGCTGCAAAGAGCTCCTCTGAAATGAGTATCAGTATTCCAAATTAAGAATAACTTAATAAATATATAATACATTTTCTTTAGTTTTTAACCAACTCTGACCCGAGCATATGACAGCGGAAGAACTGATGTTTGAATCCAAACCAATGGTCAACAAGCCTCTCTAAAGCTCTTCATGTCCACCCAGCATGTTCAGATAAGACCTTTTGTGTCTCTCTTGATCCCTGCTGGAAACAACAGCACTTAAACCCACAGCACCATCAACCCTTCCAACCCTGACAAGTTGGATCACCGTAATCCATACATTTGGATAGCTAATCCACATTCAGTGCCTCAGAGGACATAGAGACCTTTCGGCTTGTCAAATCCTGAGACAAGGATTTTAAACTGGGTATGTGAGGTGGGTAATACATGGGGCACCCCCCCTTTGCAGACAATGAGCCTGCCCAGCTAAACTGACAAGGACATGGGGGAGATGTTTGGGCTTACCAATGCGTAAGATCAATTAAGGGTGGTTGAGAGGAAGGTCTGAAAAGAGAAGCGATGACCCTGCCATAGAAGAGAGCCATGCTGCCCCTTTTCACTAATCCAGTAAAAGAGCCAAATATTTCAAGACATTTCAGTCTACAATCTACTAAAAAACAGCACAGGATCAGTCTCCTTCCTATTCTAAAACAAGTAATCTGCATTTTAAAAAAAAAGAGAGTTTTAAATATGTTTTCAAATAAAAACGTCTGAGCCATTCTTTCATCCTACGCAATAAAGAACCATAACTGAAAAGTGTGTCTTTGGTGTATCTGCCGAACAAGTCCTTTTGTGTTCAACAGAAGAAAGGTATGGAACGGCATGAAGGTACATTTACATGTGGACAGACTTTAATACTTCACTACAAAGGCAAAAAAGTATTCATTTCTTCCAAAAAAACAAAAATCTTACTAACCCCAAACTTTTAAATGGTAGTGTATAACATGAAAATGTGCATTTCACAGACTATTTAATGCACTGGGAAAGAATAATATACTACAATATAACACCCCTGTCATAGACAGCAGGAGTCAATAAGTTGCTTATAATGAGGTGCTTATGAGGCTCAAGTGTGCCTGCCTCTGGTGTGCCATGGAGCTGCAGCTCTATCTGACCCCCTGCTGCCTGCCATGGGTCATGTTCAGTTTAAGACTACAGTGAAATATTCTAAATCAAAAAGTATAGCAGACTGCATTAAAAGAGCATGATTACCACCATGTGATCTGTTTCACAACCTACATGCAACAACTGAAGTATGAACGTGAACAGGAGAGATACTCACAGACATTTCCTGTGTTGTCAAAGCTGCTGAGCACCTCATCTACTCTAATAGGTCCAAGATTGTCTCTGTAATGCATAAAGAAACATGATTTAGACATAAATATGCCGAGATGCTGACCTAACCCTAACTGTTAGCATGAAATGTGAACAACATAATGTGTTTACAGTTTTTCTCAGTCACTTTGGTGCATTTCTCAGATCATAACTGAAACTCTCAAAACTACTTGTTCAGCCTCTACATAATTTAGTCACGTCTGCACATCATAAAAGCAATCGATTATGTACAATCGCCTGCTGTTTCCTAAATTATCAATTGCTTACATCATGTTGATCAAAATATATTATACTGGTTCCCTGCTGAATAGTCTTCACCCTCAAAACATAGGCATTAGTTCTTTGCACAAGTCATTAAATGCAAAATGGTTGTAGTTGTCATAAACTGTCAAGCATATTTTCTATACATTTCTATTAGACCTTTTTTGTAAATGTGTCCTGAATTGATGAATTGCAGAGGTGAATTTTGAATTTCACTATTCACTATAGATCAACCAATGATCATTGATCAACCAGTTCTCTAAAATAGCTCAGAAATGCATCTCATGAAGCTTCATTTGGCATATAGACAGAGCACAAAACAGTGTTACAAATTCTGACAATGGAAAAACAACAAGTAAACAGATAGGGTCAACAGCCAGGAAGAAGAAGAGAAGTAAGGATGCGCCGAAAGGGTCAAAAGGTAAAGCCGAATGTTGGGAGAACAACCTTTGTCCTCAATCATTCAAACGTTTGTACATTAAGTATGTTCACTACTTAATGTAATGCTATATTACAATAGTCCATTTGAATTTGCACATAGAGAGTAATGTATAAATCTGTACTGTTGAAATGTACACTCACCGGCCACTTTATTAGGTACACCTGTCCAACTGCTCGTTAACACTTAATTTCTAAGCAGCCAATCACATGGCGGCAACTCAGTGCATTTAGGCATGTAGACATGGTCAAGACAATCTCCTGCAGTTCAAACCGCGCATCAGTATGGGGAAGAAAGTTGATTTGAGTGACTTTGAACGTGGCATGATTGTTGGTGCCAGAAGGGCTGGTCTGAGTATTTCAGAAACTGCTAATCTACTGGGATTTTCACGCACAACCATCTCTAGGGTTTACAGAGAATGGTCCGAAAAAGAAAAAACATCCAGTGAGCGGCAGTTCTGTGGGCGGAAATGCCTTGTTGATGCCAGAGGTCAGAGGAGAATGGCCAGACTGGTTCGAGCTGATAGAAGGGCAACAGTGACTGAAATAACCACTCGTTACAACCGAGGTATGCAGCAAAGCATTTGTGAAGCCACAACACGCACAACCTTGAGGCGGATGGGCTACAACAGCAGAAGACTCCACCGGGTACCCCTCATCTCCACTACAAATAGGAAAAAGAGGCTACAATTTGCAAGAGCTCACCAAAATTGAACAGTTGAAGACTGGAAAAATGTTGCCTGGTCTGATGAGTCTCGATTTCTGTTGAGACATTCAGATGTTAGAGTCAGAATTTGGCGTAAACAGAATGAGAACATGGAACCATCATGCCTTGTTACCACTGTGCAGGCTGGTGGTGGTGGTGTAATGGTGTGGGGGATGTTTTCCTGGCACACTTTAGGCCCCTTAGTGCCAATTGGGCATCGTTTAAATGCCACGGCCTACCTGAGCATTGTTTCTGACCATGTCCATCCCTTTATGGCCACCATGTACCCATCCTCTGATGGCTACTTCCACCATGTCACAAAGCTCTAATCATTTCAAATTGGTTTCTTGAACATGACAATGAGTTAACTGTACTAAAATGGCCTCCACAGTCACCAGATCTCAACCCAATAGAGCATCTTTGGGATGTGGTGGAACGGGAGATTCGCATCATGGATGTGCAGCCGACAAATCTGCGGCAACTGTGTGATGCCATCATGTCAATATGGACCAAACTCCCTGAGGAATGCTTCCAGCACCTTGTTGAATCTATGCCACGAAGAATTGAGGCAGTTCTGAAGGCAAAAGGGGGTCCAACCCGTTACTAGCATGGGGTACCTAATAAAGTGGCCGGTGAGTGTATATATACCATACAGATAAAGTGCAGTCTTGAGCATTTTCAATCATTGTCATCAAAATCGTAGCCATAGTTTACATCTGAAAATACTGACAGAGTACACTGTTATATTGACAACGTGGCTAAGCATACCCTAGTGAAAAAAACCTATACCATATATGAGAAATGTACCAAAGTGACTGAGAAAAACTGTAATCATCATACTGACATGAACAAAAGGAACACTTAAACCAAAAATGAACATTATGTCATCGTTTACTCACCCATTCTGCTATAAATAAAAGCAGTTATTATTAGCAGAATGTCCAAGCTGCTCTTAATTTTTCATACAATGACAAGAATTATGACAATGGCTGTGAAGACATTTTCACAGAAGGATTTTTGACTTAAATGTCATCCAGACTCTAGAATAGAAGTCACACATGGAACTTATGATGCTTCTATGTTGATTGTTTTGTTATTTTTGGAGTTTGACACATTTAGTCTCCATTCATTGAATGGAAAAAAAATCAGCATGAACATACTTCAGAACTTTTCCTTTTGTGTTTCAAAGAAGAAAGAATATCATACAAGTTTGAATGACATGAGGGGGAGTAAAAGATGACAAAATGTTCATATTTGAGTGAACTATCCTTTAAAACGGATATGTGGGCCGGTCTTTTTATGGGACCTGTGAAATTTCATGTTAAACAGTAACAAGACAATATTTTTATACACATGGAACAGAATCAGTGGAAATGAAAAACACCAACAAACAGTGTGTACTCAACAATTTCTCCAGCATACCGGAGTAAGGCACTGTACTGGGGAAAGATTGCACTTCTGTAGTCCACCCACTGCCCGTCTGACGGGTCATCCGTCTCTGTGGGAGTGACCCTGCTCCTGGAGAACAGGTTAAAGGAGGAGAATCTTCGTACTGACACCTGCTGTACATCTGAACTGTCGAGCTGCTTCCGTTTCAGAACCTGCATTTTAAGAGATACACAAGATGCTACTACCTGGTAACACCCATTTTCTAACGTAATAAACGCATTACATAATGCATTATATTTACGATTATTAAATAAATGCAATCAGCTCTACATTGAAGGACATTCACTGAAACCCCCTCACCTGTCGCAGAAGACCCCATCGTGCACGGGCCACATCTGTTCCACAGTGAGAGTCGTGATTTTGGTGATTATTCGCAAGCATTTCTGTCGCAGCTAACGGAGGATCTTTACATGTATTCATGCCAGAGCAACCTGGTCGATTTGTTTCGGCTTCATGCGGAAAATAACGTAGAACTATAACGACAACAGAGTGCAGAGTCTAGTCGAAGGCTTATTTGGCATTTGTTCTCTGGATGTGGATAAATTCGATGGTAAAATTTAATACCGTTTTTACCAATTCGCCGGTATGTACTGGTCTCTGTTGCTTAGTAATAAAATCCCACGCTACTTCCGTACACCACCTCCTCTTGTTGCAGGAGGAAAGGAAATCCAATTCATTACCAGAGTCTTCAAACACTCTGCTCTATCGGCTATCATCTATGATTTTTGACTCGATTACTCATGCCTGACCTAGATGTCATATTTTAGCGCCATTAGAGATAGTGAGTCATGTATGCGAATCGGTTCTTATGAACAGTTCATTTCAAAGAGCCGATTAAAAAAAAACTTGCGTAGCTTGACATATTGATTTTGAAATAGGTTTGATAGCGGTGTTTATTTTAATTTCATACGTGTTCTAGCTCAGTTTGTTGCAGCCATTCAGCTCATAAAATAGTCATTAAGAACATCTCGGTATATTTTTAGTCGGACATATACGAAAGAGGTTCAAGTGTTGAACCAATTCAACCGTTTCATTAAAATGATCCGACTCAATTGAACGAACACCGAGTGTCAATGCGCCACAGTTCTACAGAATAAGCACATGGGCTGCAGGGACGTTTAAATATTTTTAATGTGACACTTACCCAGAATGAATAATGCACTGTATTTTTGACATTTAACGTTAAGGTAGCAGAAAGACGCCGTTCATTCATAATCAGAAACTAAGTGACATTCTTGCTGCATTAAATGAATCGTATCACCTCCTCATATCTGCTGCTTTTGCGATCAGTTTCACGCAATATACATCGGGCGAATATACACCCGTTCATTTCACGTCTTTACACTGAGGTAATGTCAAACTCCTACGTTACATGTCTTGGTTTTACGTTTGCACGTACTTTTTGCATAACTGCTGTAATGAACAATTCATTGTTTGACATTTGTTGATCAAATTAAGAGACTCATAAAAGTACATGGCAATAATAAACAAACATAATTCATAGATTCTAAAATATGTAGCATTAAAAAAAATAGAATGTAATAGTGTGAATTTAGCGCAGAAGCAAGAAAAATATTGTTATTCATTTGAAACAGTAACAGTATATCAGCATGCATAATTTGAAAAAAAATTCGCAAAATACTGTTTAAATTGCATGTAGATGGAGTATCATAAATTAATCACATTGCAAGTCAACTTCTCAACAGTGTTTTGTATCAACTGTCATTTAGGGATTGTCACAGACTACAGAGGAGCTGTCTAAAGCCCAACTGCAGAAACTCAGAGGTCAGGAGCAGCGTTTTAAAAGAAGATTGCATTCGATTCATAGGAAGTTTGCCAATGTGCCAGAAAATTTTGAGGTAAGCAACAGTAATGGTGCAAAGTGTGTATAATACATATGATTGATTTACGTTTTAAATCAGTCTGAGTCATCATTCCCTCAACATCATCTCAAGTTTCAGGGACACCATCATGTATACTTTGAAGATGGCAAAGGAATCTACAGATCGACCTTGGGACACGGTAAAAGATATTAAAGAGGAACCATTTCAGAAAAGACATTTTATTTAGTTCCAAGTAGAAACCAGTGAATCTATGCATACAGGTGAGCAAGAGATGGTGGAGGTGTTCAGAGCAGACTGGGGCGGAGATGGATATGGAAGCATCCAGAGGGTCAGACTCTCTCCCACAGAGACCATGCTGGCTGCCACTGTGAAGAAAGACCACCATGAGGAGACCAGATGCATGTTGGTCCATCTAGGTGGTGTCGACCTTCATCAAAATGCCATGTTGGTTTTAGACAACGTGCTCAGCTTTGGTAAGATTTACTATACTTTAAATAGTAATTGAAACAAGAGTTTTTCCTCCACAAATGTCTTCTCTCTTGCAGAATGGGCCGCAGATGACGTCCTCTTCTACAGCACACAGGAGACTCTTCGTTGCTTGCGTGTTTTCCGTCTTCATCTCAGTGATTCTGGTGTCCAAACCACCCTTGTTTATGAAGAAAAGGATCCAGAGTAAGACAAGAGTGTGCTTAAAGCGGGCATGAAATGGAAGTTACAAATACTGCAATATTCCATAAAAAATTAAGAATTGTCCATTTTGATTTCATGGTGACTTTAAGTCCTATACTATTTTGTCCAGCATTGATGTGGTCTTCTGCCCCCTCCTCAGGTTCTTTGTGGAGGTCAGTCGTTCCAGAGACCAGAGGCTGGTGACCATTAACTGCAGTAGTAAGATCAGTTCTGAGGTGTGGTTCGTTGACAGCAAGACTCCACTTTCATTCCCCACCCTCATCCAGTCCCGCCAGCCTGGTCTTCTTTACCATGTGGAGCACTCGGACAACCACCTGTTCATCCTTGCTAACACTGGAGCACATCAGGAGTATCAGGTTATTCCAGCACCAAGAGACTTGAGCAGTATTGGTTAGAATGAAATCATAACTATGTGTAATTTTTTTCCTTCTCAAATCTCTAGCTGCTCAGGGCACCATTAGCCTCTCCGTCCATGCCACACTGGGTGCCTGTGTTCAGTGCTGTTCCAGGAACAGTCATTAAAGATATGGAGCTGCTTCAGGATCACTGTGTGTTCACAGTAAAGGATTCACAGTGTCGACTTCAGATCCAGACTCTTACCACAAAAGAGCCCTATCAGTTAAACACCCTCCAGGTATGACAAATCCCAAATTCACATACACTAGTGTCTATTTATAATGATGCTAATTTAAAGAGACCTGTTTTATTTCAATTTTAGATTTGTTTTACTGGATAGATGACATCTTATTTGATTAATTTCTTATTTCTTCTCACTAATGTATTAGAAAGTCTAAAGCCTTTACTTTTTCTGACTTCACTGTCTTTATGCTTTTGGCCTCACAGAACCTAATGATGTATATGTTCACTACAGTTCAAAAGTTTGGCATCAGTAAGATTTATTTATTGATTGATTGAAATTAATACTTTTATTCAGCAAGGATGCATTCAATTGATCAAATGTGACAGTAAATACATGTATTATGTTACAAAAGTGTTCTATTTCAAATAATCTTTTAAACATTCTGTTAATCAAAGAATCCTTGAAAAAAGAATTATAGTGGTTTCCATAAAATTAATTAAGCAGCACAACTGTATTTACCATTGATAATAATAATAATATTTTTTTCTTGAGCACCAAATCAGCATATTAGAATGATTTCTAAAGGATCATGTGACACTGAAGACTGGAGTAATAATGCTGAAAATTCAGCTTTACCAACACAGGAATGAATTACACTTTGAAATGTATTCAAATAGAAAACAGTTATTTTAATTCCGCATGATATTTCACAGTATTACTGTTTTTCACAGTATTACTGTTTTTAATCATTTACTATAAAGTAAGCATAAAAGTTTATTACATTGTGGAAAGATAAAATAAAACAAATCTTGTCAGGAGAAAATTGGAAAAAAAAATAGAAAATTGTCAGGAGTTAAATGCTACAATTACATTGTCTTATCTCGGGTCTCTAAAGACCCCTAACATAAGTGATGTAACCTTTTTCATAGAGTGCATTTTATACATGTTATCAAATTTACACTTTGCTTCTAATCATTTCTCATAAAGAAAATGCCACAAAGAACTTGTTTTTGATATATTAAAAGGCTCTCTCAGACCCCATGAGGGTTAACCTGATACATTACTATGGTCCAAAGATAGGATCCAAAATGCTCTTTGTACTCTCTAAGAGCAATGTTTCTATTTTGCCCTTAGCTTCCCCACTGGGCCTGTGATTTATCACCACAGCGTGTTGGGACTGTCGACAGAGGGTCATTTGGTTTTCTCCTGTCCTCCCCAGTGCACCCACCTGTACACTACCTCTATTCCTCCAGAAAACATAAGCTCTCAATAAAAGAGGAGGACACTCGGTATATCTCCCTCCCTGAGTTCAACACTACACGCCTGCAGGCAGCCAGTCAGGTACAAATTATTTACATATGAGAAGTCATAAAGCTACAATGGTACAAACAGCTCCCCATGTTATTCCAAAAAGCCATAATATCCCAATGTCTGATTTTTTAGGATGGTACAATGGTGCCTTTGACTCTCCTCCATATGCCTGCATTACCTGAGCTGCATAACGCTCCACTGCTTCTGCATGTATATGGAGCGTATGGTGTCGACCTCAATATGAGCTTCAGTCCTGAGAAGAGACTGTTGCTGGAGGACGGCTGGGCTCTGGCCTACTGCCACGTCAGGTACTGAATTTCAACTCTAATCATATTTTTTCATAGGGATTCTGAAACAAAATGCATGTTTATGTGCGCTTGTGCTGTTTGTGACTGGGCAGGGGTGGTGGTGAGCGTGGTCTAGCGTGGCATCGAGCGGGCTCTGTGCTGCAGAAGCAGAGGGGAGTGGAAGATCTCGCTGCTTGCATTCAGACTCTTCATCACTTGGGAGTGTCTCATCCTGCTCTAACCGCCCTCACCTCTCGCAGTGCTGGAGCTGTCCTAGCAGGGGCGCTGTGCAACCATAACCCACAGCTTCTTGGAGCTGTAATTCTACAGGTGGATCTTCAATACATCATTGAGCACACATTCCCTGAGCCATATTTCCACAAGATATATGACATTGCAATTCTCGGCAGGTGCCTTTTCTGGATGTTCTTGACACAATGCAAGACCCTTCCCTGCCGCTTACTCTTGAGGAGAGGGGGGAGTGGGGAGACCCCCTTATAAGGGAACACAGAGACAACATTGCATCTTACTGTCCCTGCCACAACATTATACCTCAGGTAAATCCCTCAGATATCACATACAGTACACTACCGTTCAAGATTGTAGAGGTAGTTTTTGTTTTTCTTATTCAGCAAGGATGCATTAAATTGATCAAATGTGATAGGAAAGACATTTATAATGTTGCAAAAAATTTTTTCTTTCTATTCATAAAGAAATCCTGAAAACCCAAATGTATCATGGTTTCCACCAAAATAAGATGCAGCGCAACTGTTTTTAGCATTGATAACAATACGAAATGTTTCTTGAGCACCAAATCAGCATATAAGAATGATTTCTGAAGGATCATGTGACACTGAAGACTGGAGTAATGATGCTGAAAATTCAGCTTTAACATCACAGAAAGTATTCAAATAGAAAAGTGATTTTTTTTTAATAGTTTTACTGTATTTTTT